CTGCGGCAGGACAACGACAAAGGCAGAAGAGCCGAAATGGGCCGCCCGGTGTCGCTCTCTTTGTCCCAAAGCATTTGCGTCACAGTGCGTCCTTGCGTCCAGTTAACCGTGGCGCAGATGTTTCTGCTGAGGAAGCCTATTATCTCCTCTTTGTCCTTTTCTCCGCGGGCTTGCACCTGCCCTGAGATGGGGGTTGGTTTCGGAATCGCTCGGAATCGCAGTGGCTTTCTGGCGCATGTCCATGCCAATATTTGTGTCGTCGTGCGTTCTTTTGAGCTATGTATTTAGGTATCACGACAAACATGCGTCCACGGCACACACTCCTGTCGCCGGGGTTTAGGCAGCAGTTTTCAAGCCAGAAGGACATTTGATGTAAGGGGTATACCAACTAAGGAACTGGCCGTTCCCCTACGCATCGACCCTATGCTAGTAACCTAAGCTTCTTAGATCTGGACATATGGCATATGGAGTTTGGCGTTCTTTGAGCTGAAAAGGGATGAGTTCAGTGGCATCATCCGCATGTGAACACTTCACTCCTGGGGCCCGATGATGAATGTCCCTGGAAATGGTGTGGTGTTTCCCCCTGGCCCAGTGTGGCACTTGCAGAGATGGTCCGTGCAAGATGCAAAATTCTACATGTAAATGCCAATCACAAGATGAACTGGACCCCCTTGCCGCTTGAGCCAAGCTGGAATATGCTGGAATGTTCCCCGCGTGTGTGGCGCAGTAGATTTGAGTCCACTAGAAACCAGCCACCAGAGTCCGTAAGAAAACGACGGCGTGTGTGTTTTCATCTGTCATGTCAGGTTGGCGGAGGTTGGCGGCTTTGGGTGTTATCACCATCTCCCACCATCTCCATCGCTCGCGCCTGGGTGTTGCATCGGCCGTGTTCCTTCGCTCGCGCCTGAGGGCGCTGATGCTGGTGCCCAACAAGAACCTCGATGGCCGGTCGCATGTGGCCTTCCAGCTCAATCGCTTGATGGCGCTTCTCGTGCTGATGATGCTCGGATGGAGCCACCAATGGACCAGACATCCGGAGACTAACCTTCAGACAGGATGCCTCCAGTTCCTAGAGGAGAGTAGTTCGTTCTTTTTGCAACGTTTTGCACATCCACTCCCAAAACCATCTCCATAGACTCCATAGTGTATCATAATCATAATCTTGTAATTTTTGGGCCGGGACATGCACGGCGGGTAGTGTGTATATATATATATATATATATCGTGTAGTGTAGGTCTCATGTAGGTATTTGGCTGAAACTGCTTGTCATGAAAGATGTTTGTGTCACAACTCGTGTAACTTGACTTCGCGCATCATCCACACCGGGAAGCAGCTTAGAAGCTCAGGAAGGTTTATGTCAGCGTCATCGACCCGGCTCCCCTCAAGCCGCAGCTTTTCTCAACAAGAGAGGATCGCTCGAGAGGGGTCCACTGTAGCATGGCCCACCTCAAGAAGCTGTTCATCCATTTAGCATCTAGAATTCGAGAATATTGGGAGATGTTGTTAGCCATGTTTTGTTGCTCCAAGGTTCTACGCTCAGGGGGACAACAGGACCTTCACGCGTACGCGTCCCTCTTCAGATGACAGGTGGGCATGTCAGATCTATATTTGGCTTTGGTGCTTGGTTTCTTGGAGTGCGAGTGCGGTAGAAAGCAAGAACGGCCACCCCACCGAAAGCAGTGTTCCATACTAATTTAGCTTCCAATCAGTACGTCTTTGGCGTCCTCGAGTTCTTAAACTGATCGATTGTTGCATGTTTTTACATCCTCCTTCAGTCTATTCTGGAATAACCAATGTGCTCAAAACAAACCATTGGTGTTTCCAAGCAACACCCAAGGCAGTACCTCATGGAAATGTTTGCTTAGAAAAAACACCTGTTGGAAGCTCCTGGCCCTGGCACTGTCGGATGCACTGCTATACTGTTTGACCCTGTCAACCCTCCTCCACTGAATTGCTCCAGCTTGGCACAGCGGGTGCTGCAGCAGCTGGAAGTGCAACTTGGCGCCGCTGGTTTCGTCGTTTTTGCGCTGGTGCCCGTCATCGATGGTGGATGCAATGAATTCTAGTGACATGGTCCTTGACAAAAACACATTGCCCCAAATCAGCTGCGCATATGCATGCTTATAGTGCACGATATACCCTGGTCTTGCAGATCGAATTATGTTTCCCCCCGGGTGGGTGAATCCCTCAACTCGAAACGGTGGAAGATGTTCGACATGTTGGTCCTGGTGGAAAGCCATTCCCAGTTTGTCATACCGTCGGATGCTCTCAAACTCTGGGGTGCCCCCCCCCAAGTGCCAAACAGGCATCATGCTTTGAGTAGCTGGGTGCCTTCCTGCCAAGGCGCCCCAGTAAATAGCGGTTGCAGGCCATCAACGAACATGCCCTTTTCCTCCATCAGCCACTTCAGCATATACGACATACGAAGTATCGTGAAGAAGCACCCAGATTCCCAGCGACCTGGCGAACCCCATGGCGCCGTGGACCTTGCGAACCTGTTCAGCACAGACCCCCACGAGGCTCGTGCCCCGAACGAACCACCGGCGACTCGCTCTGTGCCGCTCCGACGGAGCGAGCGCAGTTGGCACCGCGTCCCAGGTACATGACCCGTTTATCGGTCCGACGTGAAGTGGGCCTGTTCCACCGGCAGGTGCGTCCTGCGTGGATTTGATGCGTTCTGTTGTGAGAGAGGGTTGGTCCTCAGGTAGGTTTGGTCCATGTCTCAGTAGGTGGTGCTAAGACATTGTCGCGCTTTTACCACCGATTTCTAGTGCTGAGACACAGGGGATGACATGACCATACTTTTGCTGGGGTCCACATGCACTTGGAGAAGCTTTTCAAGGTGGTTTGGGGATGTTTGAGGGTTTAGAAAGGTTGAAAACACCTATATACGTTAAGGTTTGATTCTGATGGAGTTTGAATCTTAGGTTGAAAGCACCAACGTTTGCATCGATAGATCCCAACATCGATCAAGCACATCCGTTTATGGTTGAAAGCAACCAACAGGATCATGTTGGATTTATCGAAAATTCTTGACTTTATACTTTGGACAGCCGAGCCTGGCCATCCGGCAGCCGTGTCCTGGCTTGGGCTTTACAGAGTCATTCCGGAACCTTTTTTTGTATTGATCCTTTGTCTTGGCGTCTTTTTCCCACACAGGTTTACAGTAGCATTGTTAGAACATGCGGATACATGTACATGCTGAATTTGTCGTGATATGTTTTGGCCCGGGTCATTCATTCCTCCTTGGGGCATCCTATTTCAGGGTGGGCAGGATGATTTTGACCAAAAGGCAGCCGTTCTGCTCCTCCAAAATGTTATCCAAACACTTTTTGCATGCAAATCTATGACCCACATGTGGGCGGATTCACTAGTTAACGCCGGTGTCATTGTCCCATGATCTTCCTATACATTTGGGTATCTGGGGTATGCCAACTCTTATGCAGGTCTTTTCCATCATGCTGCTCCCGCTGCTCTTCCTTCAGTTGCTTCTTGACGGAGGGCGATGTTGGAGAGGTCCAAAACAAAACCATCAAAACAGCTTCTTTACATTGGGGAGTGCAATCTACATGGGAGGCGACCTCCTTATTGTACCATCTACTAAAACAGAAGTTCATGTTCTACTACCTCAATCTACCTTCTGTGGGTCAAGGTCGGCCGCCGTCGGCCCCTGTCCTCGAACTACCAGTCGCACGGTCGCCACCTGTGGGAGACGCAAAACTTGAACTGACCATGACTGAGGTGCAAACCCTTCGTCGCAAGGGTGATGGTTTGCTTGGAAGAACCCCCTTTTTTTTGAAGATGTTCTATAGCATAGGGCACATATTAGCACAACATCAAGATGGACACGTAGAATTTGATCCTCCAAAATGGCTTTCCTGAAAGGATAGTGATAGAGGGACTTGTAAAGTTGGACAATTGTGGAAACCTATAGGATTCTATATATTATTATTATATATATATATGTATGTATATGTTTAACTATTGCTATTATAGAGATGCCTGCTGTCACTGGGGGAAGCACTACTTTGCGGACCTGGCCCTACGACTTTTTTCATAAACCCTTTGTGTGGCTTAAGACAAGTACGCACTGCAAGCAAGGCTCTTTGTTTGTGGAAAAGACTTTGTTTTTGACTCGGCCCAGGTATTGCATTAACTATTTTGAGGCGGCTTCGCTGATGTTCTATCCTGTCATTGCCACACGTCTCGACATGAGATTGTCGGGAGTCGGGCTTTTTTTTCTTGGGGAGCCAACCGCCGGCAGCTGCTGAACACCTGGCGGCACCTCTCGGACAACCCCAACAGGTCCCCATGAAAAGCTCCTGGGGCGGCCGAGTTTTCATGGGTTCAATATTGGGGTCGAGGATTTTTTCTTTTGAGAGGTGCATTCTGAAATTCCAAGGTCCAACATCATCGCTTCTCAGCCAACCAATTGCTTCAGTCTTTTCCACTGGAATTCCACCTTCCCTTATACAAGAGGCCCTGGCGGCCAAACTGGGCGTAGAGGGCATAGAGGATTACCCAAACATACATTATATACTTTACTTCGAGCGATCCCCACCATGACATTTCAATCTGACAAATGTTCTGGCATGTACTGAAACAATATATCTTGGCATTTTTCTGGAATATCTTCTGACATTTTGTTTGGCATATCTTCCGACGTTATTTTATTTGACATTCTTTCTGGCATTTGTTCTGGCATATCTTCTGACATTCGTGCATTCTATTTTGCATATCTTCTGACATTCTTTCTGGCATCTCTTCTGACATGCTTTATGGCACATCTTCTGACATTCGCTCTTGCGCTCTATCTGGCATATCGGCTGGCATTATTTCTGACATTTTTTCTGGCGTAAGTCTTCTGGCATCCCTTCTGGTCTACCTCTGGCATATCGTTTGACACTCTTTCTGGCGTATCTTCCGGCACTCTTTCTGGCATATCTTCTGGCACTCTAACTAGCATATCTTCTCACATTCTTTCTGGCATACCTTCTGGCACTCTTTCTTGCATATCTATTTGCATTCTTTCTGGCATCACTTCGGACGTGCTTTCTGGCATTTCTTCTGAAATTCTTTCTGGCACTTCTTTTGACATTCATTCCAGCATATCTTCTGACATCCTTTCTGGCATCTCGAGGTCCGGTGGGAACACTGCCAGCCGAAGCCTGCGGTTGAGGTCCGGCGCGGAACACTGCCACGCGGCCCCCGCGGTTGAGGTCCGGCGGGGAACACTGCCACGCAACCCTCGCAGTTGAGGCCTGGCAGGGAACACTGCCATCCGACACTTGCAGTTGAGGAGGGGGAGGACCAAGAATACAAGGAAGAGGCGGCGGAGGAGGAGGAGAAGCAAGGCAGCTGACATAAACAAAGCCAACCTTCACCTGACAGGTGGAGAAAAACATATGTCAACTTGCAAGAACGAGTGCAAGCAATTTGCAGCGGGCTTGTCTACTTCATCTAGGCTGACGAAGCCAACCCCCCGCACCCAACAACATTCTGTTGGGAGCAGTGAGTTTGGGCGATGGTGAAGACACTATTTCATCATCATGTCTTATTGATGTTGATACGCTGGTCAACACCAGGCTGTGCTGACAACAAAGCCCGTTCAAGTAACTTCCCTGGCTGTGACGGACCCTAAATGTGTCTCTTCCATTTTCGCCGTGCCATTGCCAGAAATTTTTCAACGTAGGTGTGCATCTTCTCTCCACGTAGACCCATTTGAAAACGTTGTTTTTCTTCGGTTCCTGGTGTTTTTTCCCGCCCCGAACTGGGTGAATCCCCGAGATTGGAAAAATCCTATGACATTTTTTGCCCCGGAACTCAATCCACCCAACTCGAACCGGAAAAAGTACCACACACCGCGCGGGAAACAGGAGTTCCATGTATAGGGGTGCCCACTATATAAACAACTATATATATATATATCCGTTATATTCACTGGATATATCCATATATATATATATATCCTTTTCATTCCATATCCATTATATGCCCATTCTCCACTCATTAGGTGGGACTCCAAACCATTCCCTTGGACCTGCTGGACCCGTCGCTCAGGTCTTCTCCGGACTCTTCATCGGCTCCTTGGCGACGACGACTCCCGTGACGGCGAGCCGAACGGTTCAGCGGCGGCGAACGATCGCCGACTGTTGCGATGAAAAGGTTCATAGACTTGTAGATCATTCCTGAAAATGATGGTTTTGGTTGATCTAGGCCGGGTCATCCACCAGGTGATTCTCGAGGTTTGTCAGGTTGCTCATTTATGGACAGTGGTGCAATGGTTTGGATTGCGATTCGTTTGCCAGACGCTCCTTTTGGAGAAGAGCTGGGTGGGAATGCTGATTACATCTTGGGCCTTGCGACCGTGACGAGTTCCTACCTAGTTCTTGATCAGTTTTGGCAACATCTCGTGCAATGAACAAGTCCAGGTAACATGTCCCATCAGCGGCTCAACTCCTGGTCGGAGAAATGGCAAGTAGCCGTAGCCATGCCATTCAGAATTTTGGCACTGCAAGTGAATGGCGAGGAGATTTCCCTTCAAGTAACGCCAGAAACGACGGGTGCAGACCTACAGTCTCAGATCAAAGACAAGCAGCTTTGGGACGAGACTACACGCAGAACCACTGCGGTAGAGATTGTTGTTGGAGACCGTCCATGATGAGAAGGTCGCAGATGCAGTGCTCGCTGCAGATGCTCTTGTGAATGTCGTCTTCAAAGCCAATAGTGCCAGATGCTCCAGCATTTCTGGGCTCGTCAGATTGGGGAGTGAAGTTGATCAAACTCGTTTCCTGATTGTTGAGATTCCAAGCGGCGAAGCTCAAGTCTGTGCCGGGGCTTTTGAACATTGCCAACAGTTGGCGCAAGTGATCATCCCGGACTCGGTGACCCACATTGGGCCTTTTGCCTTTGGGAGCTGCCGCTACTTACTGAACGTGACCGTGCCAAGCTTTGTGACTCATATTGGGGATGCAGCCTTTTGTCATTGCAGCTCTTTGGCGAGCTTGACCATCCCGAGCTTGGTCACCTACATTGGGAATCGTGCCTTTAGCGATTGCAGCAGTTTGGTGGACTTGACCATCCCAAACTCAGTGACGCACATTGGGGATGGCGCATTTCAGAATTACAGATCTTTGCAAAGCTTGAGGATCCCGAACTCCGTGACCCGCATTGGAACTGGCGCCTTTCGGTGTTGCTGCTCTTTGGTAGATTTGACCCTCTCAAACTCACTGACGCACATTGAGACTTGTACCTTTTTCGGTTGCGAACGTTTGGCAGGCTTCACCATCCCAAATTCGGTCACCCACATTGGTGGTGAGGCATTTTTGCGCTGCAGCTCTTTGGTGAACTTGCACATCCCGAACTCAGTGACACATATCGGAGGTGCTGCATTTCAGGATTGCAGCTGTTTGGCGAACCTGACCATACCAGACTCCGTGACCACAATTGAGGATGGTGCCTTTAGAGCTTGCAAATCTTTGGTCGATTTGACCATCCCAGACTCGGTTTCCCTTATTGGGACTTGTGTTTTTGAGGGTTGCAGCTTTGCTCCTTCGCAAACATGACCATGGGCACCTGGCCTTGCCCTTTGACCATCCTTCGACTGAACGGAAAGATAGCTGAACTTGGAATGTACTTGAAAGGTTGGACAGGTATGAAGATTATATACTATTATATATGGTCCTGTATGGTGTCTAGACGGCAACATGGTATGTTGTTTTTGCTTTCGTCAGAACAAGGATTGCCCGCCACTAGTGCTCAAAATCTTTCAAAATCTTGATTGCCTGGAGTTGCACCTTCCAACTAAGGGGGGGGACACCGTCGGGAACCGGGTCTCATTAGAACAAAGACGGATGATGAGCAGGTTCTGTGCTTTCTTATATACAACTAATAAATACTATATATGGAGTAGGTGATTTCAACACTTGGGGTCTTGCTCTTGAGGAAACTCGATAACTCTTTTGGCTGAGTAGTTGTTTGGTTTTCCTAAGCTGCCACCACCTGAGAGTGTCCCGCCTCACGCCGAGAGCCGACTGGCTTTGGTGTGGTCATCTTGGTTTTGGGAGCCGACCTACATGGGGCAAAATGTTTGATCCACGTTTGATCAACATGTTTACCCTTCCTGCAACGATCATTGAAGTGGACAACCCCCTCGTATTCGGAACATCGTTTTCCTTTCGGGTCCACTTCCGTGATTGCTTCGGGGCATGTGCAAAAGCCATGTTTGTTGCCTTGGGTCTGTCCGTTCATACCTGTAACAGTCAGTAAACAAGCAAATCACTACTTTTGAACTGTCGGCCTGGAACTGAACCATCATCATCCACTGCTAATAGGATAGACCCAAGATAGACCCTTCCTGTTTAGTCCAGTTTTTGATCGGCCCTGGGGCCCGTCGTGCAGGTTATGTGGTGTGCCAAGAAGTGCCGGTCATCGTCACCCGTCGTCGAACTCTGACTAAGGCGTGGGCACGGTGCGGGGTCGTTTGTGTGAGCTGAGAGGGGAACAAAGTTGCTTCCAGGTGCTTAGGTGCTTTTGGGTGTTCCTGGAAGTCATGAAGGTCGATCAGGAGGCAGGCACGTGCAGTTGACCTGGCTCCTTTTTTTTCCAGCAGCCAGGTCAAGAACTTGTTGACCTATGTGCTTGAGCAGTGTGTCGCGGACGCAGCAGGCACATGCAGGAGGCACATGCAGGTGCTGAAAGCTGACCTTCAATATCGAACATCGGATTTGGTGACTTTCATGTGAACTGTCTGTTGGGTAGGCACGGAGGCCTGATCTTCAACGCCATTACCACCAATGCTTCCAATGGGACTACGGGACAAGCTAATGACACCATGTTATATAATTCACTATGAATGTCCACCCTTCTCCTCACATTTGTGGTGTGAACCATTGTGAACCCATGTCAGCCCAAGCCAACAGCTTCACCTTGAAGTCTTGCAATCCTGGTGTTTTTCCCAAACGAACCACGCTCCTTCTGTCACATTGTTTTCACCGTTCGGCCCCCCCCAGCTGAGGCGATGACACTGAGATGCGGGAGGTGTACTTGAGGGCGAATTTGGCATCCATCTTCCAGGCAATCCTGAAGCATCCTGAAGCATGCACACGGTCCAAGACATAGGAGAGATGCCATTGCTGATAACAAGGTTTTTGGTTTCCAGATGTTGCTTGTGGGATCCGGTGAAACTACTTCCATTGATTTGGAGTTCTCGATATCTAGCAGCTTTGGCAAGGAGTTTGCAAGTGCCCACAGCGGACCAGTCTCTGTTTCGATGCCCAAATGCTTGGGAACCAAAATGGTAACCAACTCCCCAGTACTGCGCGGCATTTTTGGCGCCTGTGTGAGGCAAAAGTCGGGATTGAATGTAGTCGAACGACCCCGAAAAACTCTGGAAATCTTTGGAATTTCGGATGTTGCACATTTGTGCACATGCACCTACCGCAGATTGACCCCTTGTATACCACCCCGCGGATGGGTAAGCAAGAAATCATGCATGCAGAGGCGTATGTCGGCCTGTGTGGCTGTCCTTTTCCAACCAGTTGCTGCCCTAAAGCACTGTTTTCAATAAGCAACTCGACTCGGAGGAACAAGAAGCTACTAGGTGGAGGATGGTGGAGGCCATCGCTACTAGGAGCAAGGACGCTATTAGGTGAAGGCCATCGCTATTAGGTTGGAGGCCATCGCTAGTAACAAGAAGCTACTAGTAACAAAGGGCATCGCTACTAGTAACAAGAAGCTACTAGAGGCTCTTGGCCGTACCACTAGGAGCAAGGACGCTACTATAGGGGCTCCTGGCATCGCTACTACGAGCATTCTTGCTACTAGTAACAAGAGGCTATTCTCCGCTACGCGTCTTGCCCGAGGCCACGCGCTACGAGGTGCATGAACTCCTGGTAGAGAGTGCCCTTCGAAAAGGCAAACGCGAACGCGACGTGCGGTTTTGGGCACCGAGATGGGAAGATGAAGGCGTCACGAAGTGCCAGGACAAATGGATAGTTAGGGGTGGTCGGTTTTGGAGGGCTGATGACATGTGTTTTGAGATTGCGGACAGGGAGAGGGAATCTGCAGGCAGAGAAGGGGCTTTAGACGGGGAGTTTGTCCTTTGGTGGTTTGATTTGGTTATCTATATTCAATGAACCACATCTTGGTATTTGCGCTCGTTATCTATGAAATGTCTAAAGCAATTGGTGTTCTCATTTGCAAGCTTGACGATGTTCATGTTTGGTATACCATTGAGAGCACTCAATATCACTGAAGCACTACGTTACCACAAGGGACTGCCCTGAAGATGCAGCCTGAGCTTTTGGATTTGGGTTGCATGAGATGTGGTTATCAAGTTGTCACAAGAATGGGGGAGAGAGAGAGAGAGAGAGAGACAGACTCCCCAGAACCTGTGGTAGAAGCATGTTGAAGAGGAAACGATCAACTGTCCGTGAACGGAGTATATAATTCACCTGTTGATTTGAATATTCAATGACTGGGTAGATGAAGACCTGTTGGTGAGGTGCTTCTTCATCGTTTGAAGACACTCAGATCGCAAGCGCCTTCCACTTCCGCAGGGCTTCTGGACAAGTGGAGCAAAGCCATGCTCCTGAACGCCACCTGGGCAGCAGTACGCGAACGCGTGCGTGCACGCGTGACCTCCGTGGTGTCAATTCCGGGTGCTCCTCTTGCCCTATGTCTCGACATGGAGAAAAAGGCACCAGGAATGCCGACGACCTGGGAAGTTCCATGCAAACCACAAATCAGGGCTCCACGTTTGGACCAAGAGCCGCATGAGCAGCGTGCGTGGGTGTCCCATCACACACGGGCCGTGGAGGTGTGAAGGGCACCCGGATGTCCTTGTCCGGCACCCAGTTGCATGGAACTGCTGGTTCAATGATCCATCGGGTTATATTATTTGCGTATATATAATTATGTTGTTGTATGTTAAAAATGTATGTGTGTATTATCTTATTTGTGCGATTTGTGTATATATATATATATGTGTGTGTGTATGCCAGTTCTGTGAGTTTGACATGGTTTGACCACTTTCCCAGGTCGGAAGGTCCATTGAGTCCTAACTGTTGTTTCACGCTAGGATGTCGTATACATGTCTCACTTACCTACCGTTTGGCTCAAGGAAAACCAGGTGCGACTTGTTGGTAGTTCTCGGTCGTTTACCTGTATCTACAGGTTATCAGCCGTATCGCCATAAGTGCGGTACGTGCTTTCTACTAGCTGTGGTCTCACCCCACCCTAGGTAGTGCACTATCTAGAGGCCATGGCTGATGATGATGGTTCCCGTGGTGACCGCTCACGCTCAGGCTACGTTCCTACTTCGCCTGCGATGTCCAGTTCACCTGCTACTGATCTCCCTGTCGTTCCGCTGGAGTTGCGTGTACCAATTGGGCCACCGACGTTCAGTGCACAGGGGGACCTGTTGCCTAGTGGTCAAGCACCGTCGCCGTTTCAACCTGAGTTTTCTCCTGTGATGAATGTCCAGAACGTTGATGCAAGACAGATCCATCAACAAGCAGTCTTCGTCAATGAGGACAGGTCAGCACAGGTAGCTCAGATCGCAGAGTTGCGGCATCAGGCCATTTTGGCCGAGCACGGGCAACAAGTAGCTGAGGATGCTAGGCATTTTAGAGACTTAGTGGAGAACCAAGCTAAAGTGGCTGTCCAGGAGTCTAGGGAACAAATTGAGGCTTTAGCCAATCAACGATTGAGTGACATGAACCAAGCCCATCAAAATCAACATCTTCATGAACAACGGGCTTACCTAGATCGCCTTTCGCTCGAGCGACACGCCGTCGTTGAGAACGAACGCGCCTCTGCCAAGCAAAGAGAGGATGCACTTCGGTCAGAGTTAGCAGAACAGAGTCGAATCATCAAGGAGTTGAGAGAGAGGTTTGACAACGCCTCGGGGAACCGAGCGCCTGCACCATCAGTGCAGCCACTTGGGTCTCAGGTGTCCCCAGCTTTGCCTCTAGCGAGCCTTCGCACTCAGTTGGAGAAGCCCGGGATCGAAGGCGGTGATGAGCCTCATCCATCCGATGCTGATGAAGAGGGTGGTGACAAATCAAAGAAAGACAAGAAGAAGAAAGGTAAGGATAAGAAGAAAGAGAAGAGCCCTAAGAGGGGCCGCTCGAGGGAGCGCAGAAAGAAACGCTCTCCTTCCCCATCACCATCGTCACCCAGTTCATCAGGAGGGAGTGATGACTCAAATGACTCAAGCTCTGAATCATCGCGTCTTGCACGCATCATTCGCAAAGAGCTGAAGAAGCAGCAAAGGAAGTCGAAAGACAAGGATCATGAGAGTAAAGCCAAAGAGGCTGACAAAATTCTCATTCCCAAGTTCCCCACACCTGAGAAGTACAGAGACTGGAAGATCAAGGTGAGGGACAATATTGCTGCAGCTTCAGCGAAGCCGGATGAAGCGAGATCTTGGGTTGGGAAAGTATACAAAGATTCCCAAACCATTGATGCCTTGGATGATTCAGAGGGATTCGCAACCCTCGACGCAAAGCTTCTGGCAAGCTTAACCAATTGCGCTGAGGGGGACCTCGGTCGGCAGATTGCTACATTCAAGGAGTTGCGTGCTCGTGAAGACAAGAACGTGAAGGGTAGACACTTGCTCCTTCGGTTCCACGAGTATTTTGCCACAAGCATCAAGCATGGAGCAATCTACGGACTCGAAGACCTCATGTCCGTCAAAATGGTCAACGATGACCTCAAGGGCTTTATAAATAAATGGGATAGCGTTCTTGCCGGAATGAAAAAGGAACCAGAAAATAGTGTTCTGGAAGCCTATTTCCACCTGGCAGTGAAACGTTTCAAGCCACTTGAGCATGATTTGGCCTTGTATGACCGTGCAGCCGATGGAAGCAAAGAAAGAACATACGACTTCCTGATCACTGCTGCCCGGGCCTACCTCGAACGGAAAAGGTTGGAAAAGATGCGCGACGCCACGAAGCGTTCGCTCGGGTCCAAAGACACAACCATGCCAGCTCCGGAGGAGAAGAAAGGCATCTGCTACGAGTTTCAAAAGACCGGAAAATGCAAGCGCGGATCATCATGTCCTTACAAGCACGAAAAAGGCCGCGAGAAAAGCAAAGGAAAGGGAAAGGGCAAGGATCGCAGCCAATCTCGGTCAAGATCGCTGACACCAGGATCTCGCAAGGAGACTTGCAAGTTTTGGAAGGCAGGACATTGCCACCGAGGAAAAGACTGCGCATTCCAACACCCTGAAAAGACTGTCCCTGCGAAGAAAGAGGACAAAAAGAAGAAGAAGAAGAAAGACAAGAAACCTCGCAAGCGAAGCAGCTCACGAGGATCATCAGGCTCCGACAACTCAACTGGCTCTGAGAGTCAGAGGAGAAAAGGTGGGAAGTCTTCCTCTTCCAATGCACCGGCAGCGGTATGCCTCCTTCGAGCAGTGGTCATGGCCGCAGTGGTCTCTCAGGGATCCTCCGTCCTCATCACTCGCCCGCTGGGAAGCGTGGCCATGCCAGTCCTTTCCGCATCAAACACTATGTGCACCGATTTTGACAACACAGAAAACATTGACAGTTTTGTTACGCAAAGAGTTCGTTTTGACGATCAACCAAACGTTTTCAATCATGCTGTTGAGTCTTCTTCCAGTTGGAGATCCGTTCAACCCCGGAGTAAGAAGAAACGAAGACCCTTTACACCAGGTCGACCGGAGCATGCTGAGGCAGTTCGTGTCGCTACTGAGGACGCATCCATTGCAGCATCACACCTTCAGAATGCTGTCAGGAACGAACTGTTGTCCTTGCCGGCAGAATGTTCGTACCTGTGCAACTCTGATATAGGTTGCATCAAGTGTTTTGAGAGGAGGTCATGCCCAACAGTGCCCGCCACTGAGATTGCATGGATTGCAGATACTGGGAGCGCACACGATCTTGTATCTAGACACATGCTACATTCGGATGAAGTGTCACAATCGTCCAAACCGGTCAGTCTTCTTACTGCCAACGGAGTCTTTCAAGCCACTGACCAAGCCAGAGTCAATGTCCCCGTGTTGGGAGCTGATATCAATCCTTACGTCTTGGAAGATAGCCCGGCCGTCGTATCGGTAGGACAACGCTGCATCGACGCAGGATGGAGCTTCCATTGGCCCGCTTACAGTAGGCCGTACTTCAAGAAACCAGACGGAACCAAAGTCAAGCTTGAAGTAGAGGATTATGTTCCATACTTGCCATCAACTACTGGTGTTGCAATGTCCGCCATAGGTCAACCTTACGGTACGAACGATCGGTCAAAGGGGCTGCGACCAATGATCCCTCTGCCCGCGTCACCGGCTGAAGAGGCAATTGAAGTCCAGGATGATGAGGACAACCCCATCGGCGAGGATCCTGCTGAAGATGATCCCGAGCCAGTGGATGAAAGGTTGGTGGAGAAGCCGTTGGACCCGAAGAGGGATAGGGGAGAGAAAGCTCTCAAGGAAGAAGCACAATCCATTCAACATCTGTTGACTCATACCCCGAAGAACCCCTTTTGTCAAGCCTGCTCGAGAGCAAAGATGACCAAACGTCCATCGTATAGCAAGGGTGGTTCAACCCAGGTAGAGGCGGATCATTTCGGACAACATTTGACTGCTGACCATCTTGTTATTCGTGACGATGAGGAAATGGACATCGATGGGGCTCGCGTCGCATTGGTCGTGAAAGATGTGGCAACGGATTTCAGATATGTCTATCCGGCCGCACGTCGATCAACACGTGAATGCATAGCAGCCTTCAAGCATTTTGTCCGTTCGACTGATGATGTAGGAGTATTTTATTCCGACAATTCACCAGAACTCATCGCGACTGCCGAAAGGCTAGGATGGAGGCATCAAACCAGCTTTGCATACGTCTCTAAGACCAATGCTATGGCTGAAAGATCGATTCGGTCTGTCATCGATGGAACAAGGGTAAACCTAGAGCAAGCTGGCCTACACCATCAATATTGGGCTCACGCTGCCAGGCATGCATGCATGGCAAACAATATCGTCGACACCCGGGAGGGTAGTTCGCCTTGGTCGCTTCGATTCGGTGAGAAGTTCACAGGCCCTTTGGTTCCCTTTGGGTTGAGGATTGATTACTGGATCGGCCCCAAGAACAAAGCCAAGTCCTCTCTCAGGTTCGAGCCGACGTCAAATCCAGGGATATTCTTGGGATATGCCGTTCAGTCCAATTTTGTGTGGAGAAAGGAGTTCATGGTTCTACCATTGAAGGATGTCATGGAATCAGACTTCAGTGCGGAGATTCAACCATTAAGAGTCCATCAGATTGCCGTTCCCGACATCGGATTACACTTCCCATGCAAAGGCAGGTACAACATGATAAGAGAAGGTTTGTACCCAGGCATTTCCATTTCGAGCAATCCGCCATCAATTGATGATGTCAAGGCTGCAAACATTGAAGAGCTTGTTGATCGGGAGGTTTTGAAACATGCTGTTGACCAAGAGTATGAACCTGATGAACCACCAGAACTCCCTGACGTGCTAATTGACGATGCACCCATCGCCGCTCGCGGGTCGGGAGACCTTGCCGACGATCCGGGGGGTGAAGAGGTTGAGATGATTGAGGTTCTTGATCCTGTTACGGG